GACCCAAATAATTACAGACCCATAGCACTACTACCAAGCTTTTCCAAAATATTTTAAAAAGTTATTTATAATAAAGTCATGAATTTTATTAATGTAAATAAAATTTTAAATCCTAATCAATATGGATTTCAAAAAGGTAAAAACACGTCATTAGCTATATTTAAAATAATGAAACATATTTGGGATGACATAAACGAAAAAATCCATGTTTTGCCCTTTTCTTAGATATGATATAAGCGTTTGATTGTGTTAATCATGAAATTTTACTGAAACAATTGGAAAACATTGGCATTCGCTGAATTGCTCTAAAATTATTTAAATCGTACCTAGAAGATCGATATCAGACAACTATTTTGGATACGTATAATAGTAATACTACAACTATTGAAACAATTAAGTCAAAATTTAAAAAAGTCAACATTGGTGTAACTCAAGGAAGTATACTCGGTCCTTCCTTGTTTTTAATATATATCAACGAGATATTTAAAATCACCAAGCATTTAACGATAATGTTTGCTGATGATGCTACAGTCTTTTATACTAGTAAGCTAATAAATAGTTCAGAGCTTGAAAGTGAAATTAATAAGTCCATAAAAGACATAGTATCCTGGTTAAAATCTGTAAACCTAACAATTAATGTAACTAAAACTAAAATTCTCCAAATTAGAAATTACAAGACCGAACCAATCCATTTAAAAATATCATTTGATGGCTCAGTCATAGAGGAAGTAGATAATATAAACTTTTTTGGAGTAAAATTTGACTCTCACCTAAATTGGAAATCACACATAGAAAAGATTAACAAAAAGATATCGAGTTATTGCTATGTTCTTTCAATACTTTCTTGGTCAACCTCTGAATCTGTTACTAGAAATGCGTACTATGTATTTATCCATTGTTAATCTATGGTATAATTTTTTGGGGTAATTCAACAAACATAAATGAAACGTTTATACTACAGAAACGATGTTTACGTATCATATACCGTAAAACAAATAGAGACAGCCTGAGGAGTTTATTTAAAGAAAAACGTTTTTTAACTTTAACTGGAATATATATCTTAGAGTTGTGCCTATTTATTAGAAATAATTGCGATTTATTCGAAACGAAAGTTTACGTTAAGGCAAAATTTACGCCCTTGCTACGTAAACAATTTTATATCTACCTCAAATTAAAAATAAAATGTTTGACAAAAGTGCATACATAACAGCAATTAAAGTATTTAATCACTTACCCAATAGTATTAAAACAATAAAAGGACCCAAATTCAAACATAATTTAAAAAACTGGTTGGTGGAACATACGTTTTATACGCTAAATGAATTCTATAATTTTAAGAGTTAATATCGTGTTCTTTATTATAATTATATCTATAAGCATTTTTTTTAATATTTTATCTTAGAAGTTAATTGTAAATCTATCATCTGTTAAATGTAAATTGCAAAAATGTAATCTGTTAAATGTAAATAGTATATATATTATGTTTATGAAAATTGTAAATCTATTGCACGCCTGATGAGGCAACTGTTGATACCTTTAATAATATGTCATCTTCAACTTGTACACAGTAATGCAATAAATGAATTATTATTATTATTATTTTTTATTTGTTTTTATTTCTCCCTCTGTATTGAGGCGTAGAAAACGGACACACGGGCCTTGACCAAGTGTGCACGCAGGAAAAAAGAAAGAATTACAATGATGACGGTGATGAGTTAAGAAATTTACGTGTGAGACGACAGGTGTTAAGTAGGACTGCTTTTTGTATAAGTGTAAGAGTGGATTTAGGCATTTGAAACATGTTGAGGCTGGTTTAAAGGGTCTTTGGAACTACACCAGTTGTAGATATGATGATAGGAATGATTTTTACGGAGTCTACTTGCCATTGCCTTTTTATTTCGATAGCCAGGTCTACATACTTTGTCATTTTTTCCGAATGTGTAGTAATGAGGTTGTGTGTGTTGCAAACTGCTATGTCTATTATAAAAACAGATTTTTTAATTTTGTCTAGTATTGTTATGTCCGGTCTATTGTAATGTATAGTCTTGTCTGTTATAATTGTCCTGTCCCAATATATTTTGACGGAATTACTTTCTAAAATAGTGCTGCGAATATATTTATAATAAGCGACCTTTTTTAAAATGAATGATTGTTTGTGGGCCAGGTTTTGGTGGACAATTGCAGCAACTTGGTCATGTCTATGTTTGTAGTCAGTTTGAACTAAAGATTTACATGCACCTGTAATATGTTGAATTGTTTCTGAGCTACTGTGACATCGTCTATATAAGTCAGTTGGAGAGCTGGGAATATGAATAATGTGTTTTTGATAGTTACGAGTATCTATTACTTGGTCCTGAATAGCAATTACAAAAGCCTCTGTCTCTGGGAAGAGTTCTCCACGTCGGAGCACTCGTTCGACGCTTGCCTGTCGACATGTGCTTGACCGAGATCGGCCAAGGTGCCTACCATGCAGAGACTTTTGTGACCACAAATCTATTTTCTGCTGTTTACTTACTATCTTGAGCTGAAAATTTCTGTCATTTAGATTAAGAGGAGTTAGTTTTTTGTCTATACCTACAATATATTTGTGCAGTTGCGAATGTTCAGATTTTACATAGAAATATTTGCGAAATTTGTCTATTAGACTGTTGTGTAAATTTTGTATATCGATGATGCCTCTCCCTCCATCTTGGCGTGGTAATGTGAGACGCTGTGTACATGATCTGGGGTGGTGTTTTCTGTTTACTGTCATATTTGTATTAATTGTGCGTTGAAGTTTAACTAAATCACTCTGAGTGTATTAATTGTGCGTTGGTTTAATTATTATTATTATTATTAAAAAAAAACAATTGTCTATTATATGCTACAGAGAATATGAAATTTTAACACAGGGCCAATGCGTGTCCACTAGGTAATCTATGGATCTATGTTATTAGCACATTAATTTTACAAATGCCAAGTGAGATAGATTTATCTCGGATAGTGAAGTGTTAAATATTGGAGAAGAATTTCTACTCTTAGTATTTTAATTAATGAAGAATTGCGAAATCAATAAAGGAATTTCCTTCAAAATACAACGATTATTAATTAGTAAATATCACATACCACTTACTTAAATTGTTTTACACAATAGCTCCTTTTATTACAAATCAAGTTTTCAGAGTGTTATCTCAATAATTAATAAGTCACTGTACAGGCCAAGAATTGATGGTGCTCATCCACGTAGATTAGATATAGTATTAGTGTACTCTTTTTACACCTCTATCACAATAGTTCCGATAAAAACCTATCGTATCGACATACTTAACAAGTATATATATTTAACATTAGATGTCCAACCAATGATGCTCGACTGGGGAAATCTCATAGAATACCGGCGCAAAATAGCTGCTATCGACGATTTTATACGTGGTAAAGCAATTCTGCTGATATATTAGTAGTATAGTTGTAGCACGGATCAGCCCGACCGGGGAAGGACCACGCTCTCACAGAATACCAGCGTAAAATAGTAGCTTAATTCTGCTGTGTTTCGTATGGTGAGTGTAGAGAACCAGAGACCCTCTTTACTGGAAACGAGGCATTCCATCTCAGTCCTCACAGGTGACAACGCAATATTGATTCGTAATCGAGAATAGATGTAAATGTCTATGGGCCACAGCAACCACTTACCATCAGGTGGACTGTGTGCTTGTTTGTCACCCTATCCTATAAAAAAAGATGTAGATGTCTATAGGCCTTATTCTACTAAAAAATGCACGTATAACAAAGTGAATGTCTCAAGAATAACCTAGTCAAAAAATCATCATCATTACAGCCCTTCACAAGTCCACTGCTACACATAGGCCTCCCCCAAGGAATGCCACAATGCACGATCCTGCACCTGCATCCATCAACTTCCTGCATGTCTTACCAGGTCGTCACTACATCTAGTGGGGGGCCGCCCAACACTTCGCCTAGTACAAGGCTGGTAATCGAGAACTTTTCTCCATTGGTAGATGTTTCTTCGAGTTATATGGTCGGTCCATTATCACTTCAGCTTACATATCCGTTGGGCCATGTGGATCACTTCGGTTCTACTGCGGATATCCTCATTTCTAAGTTTATCACACAGAGAGACCCCTGGCATAGCCCCCTCCATAGCTCGCTGAGCGACCTTGGGCTTCCTCATACGGCCAGCAGTGAAGGACCACGTATCAGATCCATTAGTCATCACTGGCAACACACACTGGTTGTACAATCTAGTTTTCAGGTTTTGAGGTATACCTGACGAGAAGATGTGTCGTAATTTCCCGAACGCTGCCCAGCCGAGTTGAACCCGTCGATTGACTTCTCGGTCGAAGTTGGACTTATCTGGTCGGACTATATCAGGTAAACATACTCGTCAACAACTTCGATCTTAGTGCTCCCAACAACTACCGGCATAGGTAACTTACATTTGTGGCAGCTTAGAGAGGGTTGAATTGGAAGTTGACGAAGACCTTTTTCGTTTATTACTTTTATTGTCTAATTTACAAGTTAACTTAAGACACGTCGCACCTGTGACGCTGCTGCCCGTCACATATCTAGATGTTTTTGGCCTTATCAGAGAACTGAGATGGTTATTCCGCCATCTATCGAATGCCAAAGCTTGTTCGTTTTTTTTGGCTTTTCGCCCTTAGTCGCCTCGTACGAAACCCACAGTTAGAGAGGGGGTGCCAAGATTCTAAAGGCGCTGCCACACACCACACTGATACAGCAATCGCCAACCCGCTTACCCAGCGTGGCTAATAAAGGCAAAATCACCCAATGGTAAGCACTAAAAAAACAAAATAAATACCGTTCGCAATGACAGTCACAACACTCTTCTCCGTTCTAACTCAGTGGACATAGAAGCGTTCACAACAAATTATTTACCTTAACGTCAATCATGCGATCAAAACTCTTATTCATTAACTACAGAGCCGACAACACTCACCACTCATTCTTCCACACAAACTTCCAGTACTCCCACACAAGTAGATATGGTGTACAATATAGTTTTAGAAACAGATCTTACAACATTGGAACAAGAAACTATAGGAGAAGAAGTAATTACAAAACTATATGAAGAACAATATTTTAATCCTAAGATATGAATCCTACATGCAGACTGAAATTACCTAAAATAAAATACAGTAAAAAGCTTACAAATCTAATAGATATTTTTAATAATAATATACTGAACCGATTTATTACAATTTTAACTGACATTCATACCCTTGTATATTGTTGCGCTATGGTTATACTTATGGTTAACAAAAGAAATAGGTTTAAAATTATTAGATGAACATCAAATGCCAAATCACAAGCGTAACTCAGAACCAGTATGGCAAATAAGATTACCAAAAAAGTCAAAGGTCCAAAAAACTAAAACAGCAGAAAAAGTATTTCGCTTAACCGAAACTAACTTAGATGAAGGTATTTTTAATGAAAAATTATTTGATGAGCGTTGTAATATATTCAGACGGGACAGAAACGAATGTGCTTATGACCAAGAGGCGAGAGGGGAGGTGTGATCTTGGCCATAAATAAATGTTTTACTGTTACTCGTAGGCAATCTTGGGACAGTAACTTTGAGGATATTTGGGTTTCACTTATTTCTACAAATCGTTTGTCATTAAATATCTGTGTTTGTTGTCTTCCACCTTATCTTCAGTCCGACGAAATCAATAAACTTATGAAACACTATCAAAGTGTCATACTTAGCAATGTCAATTCAGGACATTTCTTACTGGTAGGCGATTTTAACTTGCCTGACATAGACTGGGAGATTTCTAATTTAGAATTACGTTAAATTCCAAATGCTTCTGCAGTTACTAAGGGCCGTTTTATTTTAGATACTATGGCATTATATGATCTGAAACAATATAATAATTCTAAAAATCAGAATGATTGTCTACTAGATCTCGTATTATCAACTATGGACGAGCTAAGAGTAAAAGAAATAGAAGCATTATTGAAACTGAACGGTCATTATCCATCTATAGAAATTTATCTTAATTATACAAATAATAAACCAAATTTTGTTAAATTTAATCGTAAACTTTTGAAACCAAATTATGATAAATATAATTTTGAAAAAATCAAAGATAATTTAAGTAATCCATATTATTTTAGTTTTATTAGGAATACATAATCATAATAATGTAATCCTAATAAAACGCGAAATCAATCGAGTGAATATGGAAATTCAGAAAGAAGATATTATCCTTGCCCGTTCCGTCGCATTAATGGATGGTCTGCTCAAAACTTTGCAAAAAAAAATGAGATACAATCCAATGGAATATTGGTTAAAAGTGTTCAACTATTTTCTAAAGAAATAATGATGATATTTGATCGAATCATATCAGAAATTAAAAAGAGGATTTCGATCTCTTGCAACGGATCTATGCACATGATTTGCAGGATGCTTTTGCTACCTACTACATCCGCAAGCTGTGAGCGAAGTTTTAGCAAACTAAAACTAATTAAAAATTATTTGCGATTTTCTATGAGCCAGGAACGCTTATCAATTCTTGCAATCTTAGCGATAGAAAATCGAATTGCACACGAGTTAAATTATGACAAGTAATTTTTTAACAATTAATTTGCTGAATGAACAAAAAGCTCGAAGATCAATTAATAAATGCAATACGTTTGATTTTGATTTTTATCATACATATTTTCATTTTAAATCCTATCCTGTGGCGTGTATAAAATATACATCCTCGACGTTCAAATTTATATATTTGTTTTGCTTAACTTAACACAGAAAGAACAGAGATGGATGCATTATTTCCGGAAGACCTATGTCCAAATGTCAATCAATTAGAGGACATCTGATAGCTAAAATTATAAAGATGATAAAGGTAAAAATAAATATAAGTGGATGGGGCGGCATTTTTCAGTTTTTGCTCCGCCTAAAAAAATTAAAGATCCAGGGCTGCAGTTCTGATAGTAAACCTGTATTTTATAAGACATCTCCAATAATAATATACGTTTTAAGAACTACTAGTAATTATTTAAAAAAATATATACAAAATATGGAAAAGTATAAAATTCTAAATAAAAAACCTATGAAACTATAGGTATATCGCGTAAATTTGTTCGTAGACAAGAGTATTTAGAAGTAATTTAGTTGGTAATAATTGTACAATATTATTTGTTAGAAAGCGTAGATCGTGAATCATAATTAATTTTAAACACGAAATAGTAATTGTGACGGTGGCCGTAAAAAAAGTGTGGTAAAAGAATTGTCCCAGTCGTAAACAACACATAGACTAATGAAACACTAAGAGCTTGCAAATAAATTTTGTAGAAAGACGTACCTTATTTGTATTATTTTCAAATTTGTTATATGATATCATTCGGGTTTGTTTTTGATAATCAATCTTATTATGGTCGTATAGCAGAAATAGCAGATGTTTCGCTTTCACGAACCAATATAGTTCCGCGCTTGATCCACACAAATCTATATCCGCTCTGTTATGAAGCTCACGAGTTTGACGAAACAAATTCTTAGTTTGAATAGTTAAATTATGCTTATTGATATATATTTTTTAACGGCTCCATGCGTATTTATTTGCTCCGTTGTAATTCCTTTTGATGTTCTTGCTGCAGAGAAAAAATTATCACACGTTGCTTAATTGAAAAATTTTACAATTACATTCTTCGGGCGTGAAATATAATGGTAAGGATACACGACGACACCAGAAACTAAACACTCAGTGTATACATGGAATGTCTGTGTGTGTACACTGCCGCGATACTTAGTTGTAGATGTCGTGACGGTAATGCTCTAGTATCTGTGTCGCGGCCGTAGAGACAGGACGTGCGCGCTTTCCGACACAAGTGTCGCTAATTTCGAACGTGCGCGAAATTTTACCTAGACTACTGAGCTCAGCGGCAGCGCACTGAGCGACGAAGAGGACTGCATTTTGCCGTCCAATTCCGACTCGGTGGCTGACGATGAGACCCGAGATCTGCTGGCAGGCTTATTTTTAGGCGGGGACGGGGATGACGCGATCGATGATAGCGTGCCCTTCGTCCAAAACTAGCCTAGTGCAGGCCAATCTCCACCACAGTGAGACAGCGTCGGCTCAATTACGCAAGTGGTTGGAGGCACAAAGGACGGCCACAGCCCTAATCCAAGAGCCATGGATTGGGGCTGGTAAAATTAAAGGCCTAAACAACCTAAGAGGTAAGTTATTCTACAACTCTGAGCACGACAAGCCTAGAGTGTGTATTTATACTACTAAAGATATCTGTGCAAAACCATTAACAGATTTCTGTTCCAGACATGTATGCCGTAGCATTACAAAACGCACAGGAGGAAAGGTTAGTCGTCGCCTCGGTCCACATGCCTGAAGAAGACACCCCTCGCCCTCACGACCTCGTCAAGCTGGTGAATTTCTGTGAGAGGGCCGGACTAGAGGTTGTATCGGACGCTCCAACGCGCATCATCCCCTTTGGGGAATGGAAAAACCCAATGAACGAGGTAAGGCTTTAGTTGAATATTTATTTAGCACTAACCTAACCATTTTAAACACTGGTTCTGAACCAACCTTCATAAATAAACGCTATCGCACAATAATCGACTTCACACTTGCAACAGAAGGAGCAGCTAAGCTAATAACAAAAAAATAAAAGCATTTGGAAAACTCCATTTGTTTTTAAAATCTTCAGATATTTTTTTCCAGCGATTTTCAGATGAAGGTACCTGTAAAAACAATAATAAATAAAATTAATATTTTTCAGAACTCACCTTCTACCAATAACAATAATTTGGAATCATCAGAATCGACAAAAGTCAACACTCTCTCTCAATCTCAACGAACCTCTAAAAAAAGGAAGAAGGAAGACGAAGCTTTAGAGCGAGAGTTAAACTTCTTACACAAATCGGATGATGCTGCCGTTTTTGATGATTTCGTGGCTGCTGCGATCCGGAATATGAGGTCAGAAGCTCGAAAAAGAGAATTAAAGCGTAAAACTCAACGGATTATTTTGGTCATGGAGGAACTGGATGAATCCGATCAGTATTCACTTCTACTTCTCAATCATCCGCTCCTTTGACTCCAATGCCAAATGTGACATGGGAATCTACAGAAGACAACACACACAAATATGACGTATGAAAGTTTGTGATTGTTAATTGGTCATCTTTGTACCTTTCATATGAATAAACAAAAATTTGTTCCTATATTAATTAAATATAAATATTTTTTATTCTACTTACCTCCATGTAGTCCTGTTTTAGAAATCTGTAGATAGCTTCGCAACATTCAGGTATTATTTTGGAGATCGTTTGTTGTAGTACTCGAAATAGGTATGAAAGCGATCGATACGAATCTCCTGAAACGAATAAAGTAAAAGGTATGTTATCAATTCGATCTGTATGTTTATAAAAAAAAATAGATATTATTATAGTGTAAAAATGTTATTGACGCCAAAAATCTTAATGTTATCGCCAAACGTTCTGCCACACTTATAGCTAACCTCATATTCGTATCTTGCTTCTTAGTGGCAGGTGAAATCTTGTTAGATAAATATTAAAAGTCTTCGTGTTTCATTCGAAGAAAGTTTTTGTAACATTCTGGATCTTCATTTTTCAATTCGGATGATAATTGATTGTACGCCCCTAGCTGTGCTCTTCTTTTAATCCAATCTTTAATACACATATAGATCTCTTTTTACGAAGACGCATTTTAATAAAAAACACATATCGCGACAATCGCAGCAGCAGCACGTTGATTCATGGCGATGGAATGTACCACACTGAATTGCAGTCAGTGTCAGATATGATTCCATGATTCGTTTAGACGGCAAATACAGTTGAACCGGTACACTAGATGTCTATACCAATGTCGACAGAAAAACATTACCTACCGTGTGGACGCAATTGACACTAGTGTCGACATTTCTGTCGAGTGTCAGTGTCTTCGTGTATACTTACCATTAGATTTCATAATGAGGTACACGATGAATTGTAACTATGTCTTTAGCAGGAATTGATTGCTTTATGACTTTAGCAATATTCTCCGGTATTTGTATTAAGTTCTCGCTTCGTTTTTCAGGCAGATTACTTATCTCGATATTGCAATATCGAGATTTTTGTTCAAATTCAGCCAGTTTGGTTTCTAATTCAGAGATACGTGCTTCAGAGGCTTGTATGGATTTCAGTTGCTGTTCTGTCTTGGTTACGCGCTTGCTGACATCATTAATTTTTTTGTCTAAATCATCATATTTGTCACTGATAAATTTGAGCGTAGTTTTAATGTCGTCGAAGTCTTTGAGAAATGCAGTAAATTTTGTTTCCTGATTTGTGAACCAGGAATCAAATTTGTTAAGTAAATTCTTTGAAGAGTTTTAAATTCTTGCTGTAGATCGAAAAATGCAGGAAGCACGCTACCTTTACGAAAAGTTACATGAGGAGGAGGTGACTCATTTTCAATAAACGACTCATCAACACTCAATTCTCCAGCGCTAAATTCTTGCTCAGTTTCACACTCTTCCATAAATGTACTGTTTATATCTTGATCGCTTTGTTATGAAATTAATCCGTGCAAAATCTTCATGATGCACTCAAGTGATGATAATAAAGCGAACTTTGATTAAGAACACAGACTACTAAGATGAAGAGAAAAGCAGTCTTACTACAAAAAAGCATTTAAACACGGGTCCAACATGTGTTTAGTTAGACACGGACTTAAATGATAAACACATGTTAAACAATGGTTTAAATTTCGCTACTACTAAACCGTATTTAACCCGTGCCTCTATAGACAACGTTTAACTTTATTCTCCAGGTCACACTTAGATAATAAAAAAGATATATATATATATATATATATATATATATATATATATATATATATATATATATATATATATATATATATATATATATAATTATTTTTTGTATGAATCGAACTTACTTGATGACGAGCCCAGTACCGAAATGCACAAAGCCACTTGCACTGCTGGATCTATTGTGTTACCACGAGAATCACTCGGGATATCGTCTTTCACAAGATCTAATATTTTTCTAGCAAAAAGTTTGCTAAATCCACGTTTTTTCTTAAACTTGGTGTCGTCGTATTTTTCAAACGGATTAACCCTCACACGAACCGTATTACTTTCTCGGAACATTTCCGCATAGTTATCGATGTCGTCTTCATCGAAGTAATCAACAAAATCAATTATATCGATGTTAAATAAAAATAATGAACTGACGGAAAGATAGGTTAGACACTAGCTAAACAAGGGTTTGCAGCTGTTTAAATTTAAACAACGTCTAAGCCGTGTCTATTCATAAACCAGCGTTAAACACTCTTTTGTAGTAATTTGCTAAACACGTGTCGAACAGATGTCTAACTTTTTTGTAGTAAGACAGAAGGTATTTAGCTGAATATGTTGTGTGTCTATCGGCATAGCAATATTTCACCAATTTCCTTTGTATAAAGTCCGATATTAGTAAGTAATTGAAAACCACACAAATAGTAATAATATTACGATTTCTGTGTTAAAAATTAAATGCACCGAGATTTTTATCCATAATTGATTGAATAGTTCGTGAAACCGTTGACGCAGCCTTTTTTACTTTTAATGAGATTTTTAAAACAGTTTGTCACATATTAAGATAGCAGCGTATAGCATAGACAGAAGTATTAAAATTTTTGTGACATTCCCGGTTCCATAGCTGACATGCTTAAATAAACAGGCTCTTGTGAAAAAGTACTATAAATATCAAAGAAAGCAAATTTTAAATACAGGTTTATTTATATTTTAAGTATGAGTAAAACCGCATTGATAGAATGTTGAAAGTCATCTGTATAAGCTATTAATCAAAGCGATCTAAACGTAAATTTTGTAGTAAGCACGTAAGAAACCCAAATTACATCCGCGCCGACTACACTCATATTTTAACTGCAATTTGAAGTTTCGATTTACAACGTTCTCGGTGTTGAAGAAAAAGATCGCAAAGAAAACCTTCATATCTGAGAAGTTAAAAAAATATTTCGGAAATCATTTTTAGGTATAGGTATGTGCAGTTAACTTAATCAACTCCTTTTTGACCTAAAACTCTCTGTGACCTATGCCCACTGATAGGATGTATTTAGGCTGCTACTTTTTACTTTTAATAGGGCTATTCACTTTGAAATAATACTAGTTTTTACGGAATTTATCGCGTATATTTAACTTTTTAAATACCCGACGTTTCGAACGCTTTACAGCACTCATGGTCACGGGCGGAACTGAGATGTTCAACGTCAATATGTCATAGTTAACCGCGGTTACCATAGATTAAAATTTAACTTTTGTTCCGATCTATGCAGTATGAACTTATGTATACTACTATACTTTAGCGAGGATTTGTCAAATCCTCGCTAAAGAACACCGATTCCTTCCAAGGATGATTCGCGAGGCTATTGAAATCAAAAAACATCCTAATTTCAATAGAGAAGATGGCTGGGTGCTACCATCTGCTTGGGATCCTATCATAAATAAAATTAAATCCCAACCCAAGCATACAACTGCAAGACTTCAAGATACCATAAGTTCATACTGTATAGATCGGAACAAAAGTTAAATTTTAATCTATGGTAACCGCGGTTAACTATGACATATTATGGACGTTGAACATCTCAGTCCCGCCCGTGACCATGAGTGCTGTAAAGCGTTCGAAACGTCGGGTATTTAAAAGTTAAATATACGCGATAAATTCCGTAAAAACTAGTATTATTTCAATTTGTAGTGTTCGCGTAAATATAAGAAATCATTAGGGCTATTCACTGCTGATTATAGGCTTTCTCCATTGTTTGTCAAATAGACCGGGTATTTGCAGTAGTATTCACGCTTGGCAAGCGAGTTGGTAACCGAAGCTCTTTATTACTTTGCTTGGCGCTGTGAAGAAGATGCTACCCATCTCCTATTTCAGTTTCCCTCTGTCGCCTCTTAAGACACCCTCGGGATGAAATGGGGTTGTGGTTTCCTTTTCGGCGCCTCTACATGGCTAATATATTATTTCTACTCCCGTTCCTTAATTGGATTTCCTCCACAGACTGCCAAATAAGTTGAATATTTGCCATAGTTGCCACGCTTGGCATGCGAGTTGCCAACTGCATATTTTATTATTTTGAGCTATGATCAGGAAGACGCTGCTGCCATCTTATGTAGATTTCTACTCCTGTTCATGAATTTAGTTTTTCTTAGACGATCAACGTGAATAGAACTACATTTATGAAATTTTTTTTTTATTGTGTCTGTTTTCCGGTGGTCAAATTGGTCCAACTTGAGAGATAGGATAGTTTTTTTCTCATGAGTTCAATTTAAGGATTTTTAATAGAACATGACAAATGCAAAAAGGGTCGCCGAAAAGGACAGAACAACGTCTGCCTGGCAAGCTAGTATTATATAAATAAAGCATTTCTGATTCCAAGACAATTTTCCCTTCAAAAAGACACATCGTAAGATGTGCCCGATGTAAAAAAGGTGTTGCTTGACGTGTGATATCTATATATATATATTGAAAAATTAATTTATGTGTTTCTGTAGCCTACAATATTGCCAATATATGACACAGACACAGATACCGACGTGTCTCTACAAGTGATCCAGTTTTGTTAATTTTAGTACGAAATAGTGATATCGACGTTTCTAAATTCAGAACCACGCGCGCGAAGCCGCTGGTAAAAAGATAGTATTAAATAAAATTATTACATAATTTCTTGAAATATCAATATAAGTAAATAAGAAGTATTTTTATCCTAAATTGATTTATTTAATCAGTGCCGTTTAACATTATTCGTAGTAATCGAGAGTTGCGGCTTCTGATGTTGATGTTATTGTGTTTTGCAACCCTTGAATTATTTAATATTTTTTGTATAGAATATGGGTAACAAATGAACACACAGTCCAGTTGATGGTAAGTAAATCCTGTGGCCTATAGACATCCACATTTATCGCCACTTAACAATGAAAATGCAGAGGCGTAATCACCACTGAGGACTAAGATGGAACGCCTCGTTTCCAGTAAAAAAGGTTCTAAAGGTCAGTAAAATTATTATTTGCAATAAAGGATAACAAGGAAAACAATATTGTTGCTTTTTAAATCTTGCACACTATAATATTCAACTAATGACCGTCCGGCTAGTGACCATAATTAGGAACAATATATCGGGATAGTGGACATCTTGAATCCTGGAACCTCACGATCCTGAAGAGATATCATTCAAAGGACAAATGCAATGTATCGGGTTCACCCCAAAACGTTTTTTTTTTTTGGTGGGACAGTCAAGCAAAACGACAGTTTTGTCATCTGAGCCAAAGATATGAGGCAGCCGCGGGGTTTTTTAGGCACTGGCACAGAAGCCAGAACTCTTGAATTCCTACTACTGTAAGATATTATACGTGGTTCTAATGCTGTTTTTATAACAAAAAGATTTTGCAGAGAAGTATGCGATTTTAAAATATTTTTGAAACATTTCTCATAATGTGAATTGCAAAATATTTCTTATTCAATCGAACCGTTCGTTTATTGTATGATTTTAAATTAAAGGTAAAACTTCAGATCGTCATCAAAAACGAAGTAAGGTTTGTTGATTTTAGTGTAGGTTGTGTATAATACATATATCAGAGAAATACCTGTGTTTATTTTGTTTATCAAATAAGTTCGCTACAATAATCTTTTTTACGAATGGCCAAATCCCAAAAATAATTAATAAACGCAAAGTTAGCGATCATAACTCATCTTAGCTAAATGCTTAAGTCTATATTTTTCACAACATATCAGCCTTAGAATTGTTCTAATAAAAAAATACTATTAGAAATTCAATTTTTGTTTCGTTAACTTTCGACAAATTATTTAATATAAAGAATTAAAAAAAAACTAAAATAACTCAAAGTCTGCAAATTATAAGAGCTATTTTTAAGTAGAGCAGGTCACAGCGATAGATTTCACCAGAGCCAGAGTATCATCAGTTAGAAGATACTCGTAATGATGGCAAAAAATGTGATAAAAAGTTTTTAAACTTACTATATACTATATATGTTACTTTTTACACCAAACTAAAATTAAAACAATACATTAAGCACCTAATACATATAGTAAGAATATAATATGAAATAATAATGTAAAATATTATGAGTTACCAAATGGGCCTTGTATGTTAAATGAATTAAAACACCAATTTAAAATAATAGAAAACCCCGACCGCCAATCTCTGATGGAGGCCTATGTTCAACACTCAACATTCCATAGTTCAACAGTAGACTGACTACTTAATAAATAAATGAATACGTGAAGACAGTCACCATGGATACTCCGTAAGTTTCCTTTTACTAAACTTGACACGGAATTGACGGTTAAAATAAAAATGTTGAGTTCCAACGTAAAATAACATTAAATGGTTATAATTCAATATAACATTTAACAATAAATGACAACGTATTACGATAAATTATATGTACATATAAAAAAAATCAAAACATGTTATCCAACATATCCAGCTTTTTCACCCCTTTTTTGCACTTGTCCGGTCTAAAATTATTCACCTTTTAACACTTATTTAATTTTTTATAGAATAAGGGTGACAAATGAGCACACAGTCTACCTGATGGTAAGTGGTTGCTGTGGCCCATAGACATCTACATCTATCCTCGATTTAGTATTAAAACGCAGATGCGTAGTCACCTCTGAGGAATAAGATGGAATGCCTCGTTTCCAGTAAAAAAGGATCTCTGGAACTCTACTTTCACCATACAAAACACAGCAGTATTAATTTATATTGATATAACTTTTCATTCATTTTAAATCTAAAATTGCATTAATATTAATTTCACTTAATATTAAAAATGGAAAATGGACTAATGTCTATTTTTATGATGTCGGTGGAAAATCGTAGCTTATATTGTAAATTGATTAATTTAGTAGAGTACGTTATTGGACGTCAATAATTGTGCACGTTTTTTTATTAAAATCTAATAATTGAATAGCCTATTTGTTTAAACTTGCCGTATACTTTCTGTAACAGAATATTTTTTACCTAGTTGTATCTCTTATATTGATTCGTCATTACTCACGTTTGTACAAATTAGATAATAAAAATTATTAATGCATTTTGATAATGTAAAATAGTAAAATGTTAAACAATAAAATAGTAAATATATTATATAAATTATCGTAATTTTATAACATCATGCTAAAATACTCATTATTCACATGTTAAAATTAAAATTATACTATATACAGGATACTACTTCACTACTTTTGGGGTCGAGTTTAAAGCACTTTATTTAACTTATTTGGTATGCCATCAATATTTGTGAATAATTTTTTATCTTATAAGATATTGTAAATTTCGCTTTACAAAGTTCCACAAATAACTGTTTATCTATACGGAGGTGGAGGTTGATTAATGATGACTGAAGGAGCTTGTTGAGCAGGAACTCGAATTACATGATGGTGAACGACAGTACGGGGGGGCTCTTTACAGCAGTCGCAGCACAAGCACGGGATACAGCAGCAACAACATGGACGGCACGAGATGGTACAACCCATCCTGAAATATAACAATCCAAGTTTAAAAAAACTGTGAACAAAACTTTAGAACAATGGAAAATGTTAAGGTACGTAAAATATTTAAAAAATATATCGCCGAATTAATCGTTTTGTCGCATTATATGTCTAATTGCGACGTCCTTAACTTTGTGGTAAGCATTTTTAGTTTTAAACATTTGTTTAAAAGTGAGGCAAAACTGAATTTGATTTTTAATCACAAATTTAATAAAAACAATAACATGTTGAGGTTTTATGATCTATGCCCATCCGTTTATGTTTGAATAATCAGACAGAATACAGAGATACGATTTATTACGAGTATCTACAAAAATATGACTAGGTACTAAACGGAACTAACTAAAACGCGCAGTTAAGAAATTTTTAACAACGCTATAAGTTAGTAAGACCGCAACCACAACAAAATAACGTAATGATTATTTCGGACAACACACAATTTCAATGAAAATCGAGGTAATATACGAGCATTCAAGAAAATTGTTTTCGGTTCTTATCAACACTGATTGTTCCCGTGTATCAAATATTGTACCCTAGTATATCTACCTCGAACTCAAATCTTATCGCATGAGCGTTACATCGGCTACAGATAACGTAAGATAAGTGAATGCTTCTGTGTTTACGAGTACACTTGTGTCGCGGCATTATACATTTATTCTGACCAGGTGATAAATTCACATGAAATATAGCGTATTTCATTATCTTGAGAGTAAGAAGATGTCAACGTAGCTGCTAAGTCAGATTATCCGACTTAATAGTTGCACGTCTTGGTTTTAATTCTAGTGGGAAAAACAATTATGCAAGCACTTTCTGCGTTGAGCTTTTGCGTAGATTTTCGTGTCTGGATAAATTAGAATCCTTCCTGTGTGTTTGACATTGAATCTAAAACCTTGCTAAGATAAATCACTCAATCGTTACAACGGACATCGGTATAGGTTAGAAAAAGAGTGGAATTTTTTCACGCTTATAGGTACTTGGTACTTGCGGTATTATAATATTGTGTTTTGCTCATTTGAAGAGTTATTACTTCGTATAATATATAGAAGTTGTAGCAGATTACGTCAAGGAGAAACAGTATTGTCACCACTATCGCATCATACGCGTAGTACTGAATGATTTCGCCGATTATTATGGGGTAACGTGAGGTTTGGGCAAAATACTGTATGCTAAGAATGGATGTGCAAAGGTAAACCACATACCTAGTACCTACACGTATTTAAAACATTCTCAATTAAAACATTTAAATTTTTTGTACACCATTTCAACGTCTTGTACTAATTTGTGCGACTGATTACATAAATAATGTGTGCACTAATTAAAAGTTTATTGTTTATTTTATAAGTTTAATGTAAAACTGGTTTTGTATCGATTTTAAACAGGTTAACTAGGAAATAATAATTTTCTGTAGGATAAATCCATTATAAGGTTTAGCGCAAAATGGCCGCATTGTTTTCGATCGACAATCAGTCCTATCTTTTTTTTAATCAATGCTCGATTTAGTAAACATAGTTGTTTATAATTTGCAATAATGCCAACTGGATTTATTATTTTAAGACAAAAAATTAGTATTGTTTACTAACGAGGTCAAGAGAAAATAATTATATCGCTGATATTTTTGTTTCATTTCTCGTTGCGTGTTAAAAACAGTTTTATAATATTACCATGTTACTTACATGAAACTGGTACACAAATTGTAATCTACTAACTAATGTATAACCAAAGTGAATTTTAATTATTAATGTATGTAGCAGTTATTAATTAATATTAAAAGCGTTTCTATGCCGTGGTCGTCCACTTCGGGGAATTAAAAGTTACTCACCTTTATAAATTATCTGGCTTGAGGATAAGGATAATATGCAGGCTGTTGCGGCGGGTACCCTGGATATCCCGGATGTCCTTGCGGCGGCGGTGGGTACGGATAGCCTGGCGGAGGCGGTGGTGGCTGTTCAAAGACTACTGGTGGATGGTGTACCACGACTGTCTGAGGCGGTCGTTGTTGTCCACACGCGTTTGGACAAAGGCAAGGTACCAAACAGCAGGCGCTCAAAGCCATACAACAGGGGTTGCAGCAAACGTCACAGTCGCCGCAATCCAACGAAAAACAGATGCCCATCGTAGTTATTAACTCCTTTAAGTAGAAAATAGAAATGTTGCTATCAAAATCGTACTATCAAAAGTAATAATAGTTCGTATAATATCCGAGAACGTAATCTCTGTTGACTTATACCTGGCTTGAGTATTAATTGCCTTATGTATCACGAAATAAATAATACATTTGTTTTCACACAGAGTGTGTCACTGACTAAATTATCATTGGTTACCGGTGTTTTATCTTATTGATAAAAGTTACAGTTTCGTATGACGAAGCACATGTTGTGTGACGAACACCTCTTCTGCACATTGTTCGATCGCTGATAAATGATAATGTGCCCAAACGCATTTATTCCTTTCATTGCTGTCTTACTAAAATAGCCTAGATAGTTTTTGCATTATACTAGAGTAACAATCGAGCTAATATTTCACGGTGGTAAGAGGCTACTCTCCAGTGCATGGGCACATGTAACCTAATTCAAACATATAAGATTGCGGCAACGTTGCTAATTGTCATCCCTGAGAACAAAGATGAAATTCATCACAGCTTGTAACTGTACTGGATCTTATTACCCATCAAATCGGTACACAGCAGTGGACATTAAGTAAACAGCCACGCAGACGGAATCCTAGGAAGGCAAAAAGCCCCATTTACTAATTTAAATTTGTATAAGTTGAAAATAAAGAAAAAAATGTTGTAAGCCAGTTATAGTATATATTGACACCTTTGAGTAACCAACCAACAAAATTGGTTTAATACTCAAAGATTGATACATACGTATTTTTATATTGTGTTCCTTATCAATAATTACTCTTGCTGGTAAGTAGGTAAATAAGGGGATTATTTTTAATAGATAAAATTGTTATGATGAGGATAAATAAAATACTAAAAATGTACCTGCGTTGTAGATAGGACAAAATGTAGGTACAGAATAGACAAAGAACGTAGATTTATTCTCTGGATAATGTTAAGCAATTATAGCAACATTATACTACTGCCTTATAGTATAAATATGTATTGTAGGTACATATCAACCACAAACACAGTATAATTGTTACATACATATATATACATACGTAAAAGTTATCCATCGAATAAATTATCACTTGACTGAATATAACAGTGAAACAATTGAACTATTTATGAAGGTGAATGAAGTCATCCTATTTGTGGATTTTTGTGCACTACTTAGCTACCTAGTACTCAGGTGAAAGCGCAGCCTTTCAGACTAATGATTTTTATTATGTCCTAAAACCCAGGCCAATTAATACTTTGCTCAATATTTGGACCATATAGTAGCGGCTTATGACAATCCACTGCCCCTTATCATCACGTGGGCGTCGTAAGAGGCTACAGAGGACAGCAGCATCTTACTGATAAAAACACAAAGGAATAAAAAGCTACGGCTACCGAGCGTGGCAAGTGGCAATTAGAGCAAATAGGGGAGACCTGTCCAGCAGTGGACTTTCTGTAATTATTGTACTAAAGTTCTTCTATAGGCTTCTAAGGTCTACCTTTTAGACATGCTTTTTTTAAGAACCTTGACAAACAGCTAACATTTGTTGTCAAACAATTTTTGAGATGGTATATGGATGAGCTTGTGTTAAAGTCCATAAAATTTCTTTGAATATTTCGTTTGGGTGACTTCTACCACACTTACAAGTTACAAGATAAAAGGTTAATGCATTTTTTTACTTTGACGTCATACGGTAAGTATCTGAACCTTCAATGCTATTTTAAATCCAAATTACTCACTATATTTAATGTAACTCATAAAGAGGCATATGGTGGAGGGTATAGGGAAGGTAGTAGGAGGGTGTAGGTGGAGTGGAGGTACGTACAGAACTTCGCGTCATTGAGAATGGGTCACCAACAGCGGCACAATATATAACTGAGGTTTTGGAAGAAATTGTAATGTCATTAATTTGACCCTTGTATATGATATGGATTTGTTTTGTGCATGATAATGTACACCCCCATACTTCATCCGTAGTTGTCGAATACCTTCGAGACAATGAAATCAATGCTACGGGGTGGCCAGTGCGCACTCCCTACCTAAACTCCATAGGCATTGTATTGAATAAGCTTGGAAGACAAATTAAGAACAGAAATCCTGGCCCGTTAATTTCAGAAATCTTAAAAATGCATTACAGGAAGAATGGAACGCAATCTCTAAAGATTTTATTGATAACTTGATTACAAGTATGCCTAGGAGACTGGAAGCAGTTCGGAGCTATAGGGAGCAACATCAAGTACTGATTATAGGCCAACTTATATTTCCTAAGCATTTATGAAAAACAAATGAATAAAGTGTTAAGTACAAAAATGTTTCTATCATGTAAAATTTTTCTTTTTTTTATTTCGTTCATTCATCATTTGATCATTTGTATTTTCGACGCTTGCAATTTTAAATTAGGGAATAATAAGCAAAATTCAAATCTATCAATTTAATTGTCACAAATATCTATGATATTTTATTTTATATACACTTTTTTGCGTTCCTGTAAATTTTTCCTCGAGTGTAAAATAGCTTAATAAGAAATCCAAATAAACATGACAAGTATAAGTGGACGACCAAAAACATTTAGTAAAGAAGTAAGCGACTAAACTAAATACATATAATACTTAAAAATAAAAAATTACCCACCTTCTTCTTATTAATTGCAGTCGTTAGTCGTATGCAGTCAGCGTCTAGTCACTAGAACTTTAAAACACAACAGCGACTTGTTGTTTTCACAATGTTAAGGAGACGAGCATGAATCAACAGCTTAATACGATTTGTCACAGCTAGAAAACTATGATTACATTAACGCATGCGCAATGCGCACTGAGTAGTCATATCTCACTACACTGCAAACTAAACGTGTTATCTTCTCAGTCACTGCACGCAATATGAAAATAAAAGGGAAAAGACGGCTACTATGACGCACAACTCGCCATTGTAGTGGAAAATGAGAGCGAAGTACGTAACTTCGTCAACCTTGTCTCGAGTTGTTAATTTCATCGAAATATGTCTTACGCCAGTTTGCATCTATTACAGTTTAAAACGGTATTTAATTGTTAGTCATTTTGAGTACTAAAAACTAACGATTCTGTCGTTTAGTTATACTGTAATGCTCTTCCTATTAATATTCATTAACCTCTTTTAAATTGCAGGTTGTTATCATAGAAGTATCAAACATATCATCTATTGTTGCTCTGCAAGTCATTTTGTCAAACGCGATAAACGTGTTAGTGCCATAAAAATCATAGAAACCATGATAACATCATTTTTCGTGGGGGAAGACAAATAATATCCAACGCTCATCAGATCAGACCAGATTGTATACTAGTTATCATTGCAAAGGCTTGTACACCTTTTTTTCTTTATTTTACACAGGGAAATGCCTACGCATATTCCCTCGCGGGAGTGAGTACGGGTTATGTCGGACTCGCACTGACTAAAACCCCTTCATCTTCGCCGTACGTATACGTATACGTGGTAGAGCCATGCTGCAGTTATTTTAGCAGTATAATTGTGGCACGAATGGGTCGGCTCGATCGGGGAAGGACCACGCTCTCACAGAATACCAGCGTAAAGGCTTAATGCTGCTGTGTTCCGTATGGTGAGTGTAGAGAACCGGAGATCCTTTTTACTGGAAACAAGGCACATAACGCATCTGCATTTTGATTTGCAATCGAGGATAGATGTAGATGTCTGTGGGCCACAGCAACCACTTACTAACAGGTGGACTGTGTGCTCGTTTGTCACCCTATACTATAAAAAAGGTTTGTTGATTTTCAGTAGAACTAGATTAATCAGCATAACTTAATGGATTAGTAAGGAAAGTTGCAATGGACCAGCCTTATAGCCCTTAGAGTCAACCACTGATGGAGCAGAATCGTTCTCAAGTGACAGTAGTAAGTTAAGTGTAGGATGTGGAGCATACAGGAAGTGGATGAATGCAGGTTGCTTAGGACCAATTTTGTGGCATTCCTTAAAGGAAGATCAACCCATATCTAGCAGTTGAGTTGTGAAAGGCTACAATCACGGTACGAAAATTGTCTTATAACGATTCGATCTTCAAAATACAAACAAATCAAATCAAAATTAACTATGACCAACGGAACGCCTCACGGTGACTGAACACAAGGTTACAATGTATTTTTTTTGCGGTAGCATATTGTTAGGCTAAGCAATACAAGGTTTCAATCTGACTTTGATATAAAAATAATACTACAGTTGAATAAAAAGTTTTAGTATATAATGTAAATGTTATATTATAATGCTGTGTAGTAGAGACTATCCCGTATACCAGCCCATGGTTGTGATAAGTGGCGATAGAGTTAAAAATAACAAGAGATGAACAAACAAATATCCCCCATGAGGCAACCTCACAACCTGCGGGAGTCCACTGCTGGGCATAGGCCATGTCCAGCAGAGGACTTTAGGCTGAAATGATGATGACGATAATGACGCATTAGACAATGAAGAAAATAAGTTAGATTAAGCGTAATTAATAAAATCAAGCGTTACTTTGCTTAAACCAAAAACGAATAGCATATTCCTATATACGCACCGTAATGATCGATCTTCCACTAATTTTAACAAAACTTAAATGAGTAGAGGCAGAATATATTATGAACTTGATTACTGCCTAGTCCATGATAACGTAAAAACTAAAAATACGTCATTGATGATTACAATATAAATTTATTATTTAAACTTAACGATAATCGATTATAATACAGGAACATTTAGTAACATAAGCAGTTGCTACTTTTATTTAAGCTACTGTGTGATTATTTTGTATTTTTTTAAAACTCGAACTTCTACAAATGTAACAAATCATGAGCATAATCAGTAATCACAGTAATCTTAATATCTTATCTTAAACGTCACGCTCAATCAATGCCAAAGTTAGTAGAGTGTTGAATTTCAGTCCATTCTGTCACATCAACTTCGAACTTTACAGTTTAAAAATGTAAAATAAATAATGAGTCTAATGAGCGAAGAAAATATTGCATTACTATCATTGGCTGAAACACGTAGAAATTATACGGAATCATTAAGTACCGAGGAATCAAATAGTTCCACCTGCGGAAAAGAACATGGCGGAAAACATAATGGCAATAAACGATTTGTGTTTCTTCGTCCTCTCAGCCGGCTAAAGTGGAGACTTAGATTTAGTAAAATGCGCAATAATTTGCAAAAGATCAACTGTTTCAAGGGATCCGAGGAAGAGGAGAATGCGATGATAGAAATACAGAGACAAAAAAGCATAGATATTGGCGTCGGTTTCGCAAGGAGACTTTCGCTTTTCCTTTTTACTAGAAGGTCGGTGTGTGTCCATCCTTACCATCCTTACAAACCAGCTCAAACTACAAGAAAGATTTATATTAACATCGACGAAAAATAAAATTATAATAGTCTGCAGATAACCATTTTCTTAGAATTTTGTTTGAAATTGAACTGAGAAAGAGGAAAATGACAAAGAATATTAATGAGGTTACTACGTTTATTTCTTCAGAATCTCTATTAATTAATTTGTAATGACAATAATAAGATAACAAGTGCGCAAAATGACATTGCTTCATTGTATTTTTGATTAGGTAATTGCTAATTTTTCATACACGGGGATATTGTTATGTATTGATAGAACAGCTAACATTGTAAAAATTTTATATTAACATATTTAAATTTAACAATACAAAATATATTATATTTGAATAGTTTAAAACAGTATTTTTATTCTATTCTAGTTCGTTACTATATAATTCTAACCTATTAGATATTTGAGTAAAACTCTATCCCACCAAAAACATTCTGTAAAAAACTAGCCAAGTCTCGATGGAGCTGCTTGTTTATCTCTAAAAAGTAATGAAATCTAGACAAAGTCGTGCCAAGTCTAAGGTTCCTTACTGCGATTTCTTTATTATTATAGTTAATGTTGTGTGACTTGGCCGTTGAAGGGTACACAAGGGTACAAAACCCGGTGCTACATGACACCCTTGCACCAATCTGCGTTTTTTTTTTTTTTGGTCGCCAGAACCGCTATCCATTGACGATGGAAAATTGCCACTTGGAAAACGTTGATTGAATAACCAGTCAATTGTAGGCGTCAAATCGACCACCGATCTAACATAAAATAGACGTACAGACGGACTTCTATCAATGATTCGAAGTCCGCCTGTTCTGAAAATAATTTTTTATACTGTTTGTTTCAGGCTCGCCTATACAAAAGTATTATTGAAATACGCAGCTTTATCAAGCCTACAATTGACTGGTTATTCAATCAACGTTTTCCAAGTGGCAATTTTCTATCGTCAATGGGTAGCGGTTCTGGCGACAGATTGATGCAAGGGTGTCATGTAGTACCTGGTTTTGTACCCTTGTGTACCCTTCAACGGCCAAGTCACACAACATTAACTATAATAATAAAGAAATCGCAGTAAGGAACCTTAGACTTGGCACGACTTTGTCTAGATTTCATTACTTTTTAGAGATAAACAAGCAGCTCCATCGAGACTTGGCTAGTTTTTTACAGAATGTTTTTGGTGGGATTTCACTTCTTTTTGTAGAAATGTGGGCACATTGATTTATTTTATTAGATTTTCTTATTCGACACATTCTTTTTCTTTTTAGGAGTAGTTTTTTTATTATTACAAATCTTTCTTTTCTTTTTTTTCCGGTTCTTATTCTTGTACAGTAGCAACAGTTTTTCGTATTGCCCATTCGCGTTCATTATTTATTCTTTTAGACGGTTTACGAAATCTGAAAGATTGGCGCGGTATTTACGCCTAAGCCGGTTGTATTCGGTGATCGCTGAAGTTTGAGTTTTTATACTCTTGAAGTCAACATTTATGAGGTGCATCCCATGAAGATTGGTTACTCGTGAAAGCGCCACGTAGGCTTGGCCACAAGTGAATATGGAGGCGCCAATGTCCATGAGGGCATTATTTAGACTTAGACCTTGGCTCTTGTGAATTGTTAGGGCATACGCCACACAGATCGGGAATTGTTCCCTGTACACGTATGCCCGGGGTATGATCTCAAATTTTGACTTAATAGGCAATAATTCGTGAATCAAATTATTAGCGAATTTTACTACCAATTGTTTAGGCTTTGTTTGGTCTTCCGGGTCCCACCTCACTTTTTGTACAACGCCTAATGACCCATTCACTAAACCTAAACTAACATCAATATTTCTTCTAAGCATTACTTTAGCTCCCTCTTTAATGATTATAGTTTCTTACAGTCCAGCAGTCATCGACGCATCATCTTCATATTTTTGTAAACACGCCCGGACTTTCCTTATCATACATTTTGAACATTCCAAGGAATCTTTAGCAACTAACTTTATCTCGGGGTGCGGACTCGCTTTTAACATGGCATTATTTAACTGCATACACATATTTCTAGTCGGTAGTAAACAAACAGTATCTTCTGGTAAGTCTAGTGTAATTTGTTTATTTAACCTTTCTCTTACTGCGCCCGCCGTAACAAAAAACAGCTTTGTCACCTCAGCTGGCGGCACTTGTTATAAACATTTATGTTTCTCACTTATGTATAAAGAGGTTTTTGTTACAGTTATTTAAAGCCGATAAGATTTTCGATAAGTAGAAACAATAACCATAACATTTAAATGTTTATTTTATTTTGTACAGCTCTTTGTTTCTAACGGATCTTGATAAAGTGTACTTACTGAAAACAAATTTTATTTTATGAATGTTTGGAAATATCATAAGTTTTTATTTTATTTTTATGTCCTTACAATCAATACAACATATTCTTCCTAAATGAACCGAAATTATGCATGTAATAATTATAATAAT